GGCACTGCTTCGCGGGGCAGCAGTACATGCCCTACCCGTTTCATTTTAAAAGGTTTTTCCATTTACGGACTTTTTTGCTGGGAATAAATTTTTCCCCCCTTCCCACCCAATTTGGAAAAAACATTTTACTATGCCGGGAACAAACTTCAATTATTAAATCGAGATAGGTTACTGGGTGTCCCTTTTTATCACCCGTGCTTGACTTAGTTATGGCAAACAATGAAAAACCCCCTTTTTTAATAATTTGAAATTTCAGGGGGAATGGGGTGAGCGACCAAAAAATCAATTACATTTAGCATTGAAAGGAAGTAGATAGTAGCGATAACTCGGAAAAAGCCCAGAAATTTTTGGGTTAGGCAGATTTTGAAAGGGCTTAAGAACACTTATCATCTGTTGGGCTGGGGTAAAGAAGTGACTATCAATATGCGTTTTCTGAAAAAACTATACTTTCTGCTCAAAGCCCTTTTTTTTCCCATATAAAGAAAAGATAAAAAAGAAAAGACCCCAAAAAGGATGAAAATAGGTCAAATATCTACTAGGGCATAAGAAAGGAAAAAATTTTAGGGTATCAAAAGAGGTGAGGGTCATTTTTATGAATTTAGTTTTATTTTACAATTTAAAAGGGACATTAAAAAGGGGGTAAGGGAAAAACTAAAAGGGAAATGAAATTAAAGTTTTTTAGGGGGTTCTAAAAAATAACCCAAAAATTTTTTTTCCCGGTCTATAGAGCAAAAGTTAGAGATAAAATAGGTCCCCTTAAAAATAACTATGGGCACCTTACTGACAAAGAGAATGAAATGTGCTCGATTTTTAATAATTATTTTCTCTCAGTTTTTACACAGGAAGACACTAACAATATTCCAGTAATTAATTTTTATAGTGGGCTAGAAGAAGATAAATTATGTAACATCACAGTCACTAGTGAAATGGTTGTGAAGCAGATAGACAGACTGAAGCAAAATAAGTCGCCGGGTCCTGATGAGGTTTTTTCAAGGGTTCTTAAGGAATGCAAAATGGAACTCTGTGAACCATTAACTAATATTTTTAATTTATCTCTTCAAACAGGTGTAGTGTCTGATATGTGGAAGATGGCTAATGTAATTCCTATTTTTAAAACAGGGGACAAGTCGTTACCGTCAAATTACCGCCCAATAAGCCTGACCTCAATTGTAGGCAAATTACTAGAGTCAATTATAGCTGAGATTATAAGAAGCCATCTCGATAAGCATAGCTTGATTAATGATACTCAGCATGGATTCACAAGAGGCCGGTCTTGTCTAACTAATTTATTAACTTTCTTCAGTAAAGCTTTTGAGGCTGTTGACCACGATAAAGAATTTGATATTATTTACTTAGATTTTAGTAAGGCTTTTGATAGAGTTCCACACCATAGACTGTTAAAGAAAGTGGCAGCTCATGGCATTGGGGGAAAAGTGCTCTCGTGGATCGAGTCATGGCTCATTGACAGGAAGCAGAGAGTGTCCATAAATGGGGTTAAATCCGAGTGGGGATCTGTAACAAGTGGCGTTCCACAGGGATCAGTCTTGGGCCCGTTGTTGTTTATAATATATATCAATGATCTTGATGAGGGAATTACTAGTGATATGAGCAAATTCGCCGATGACACAAAGCTAGGTAGGATAATTGATTCAAACGTAGATATTATGGAACTTCAGGAGGATTTAAACAAACTCTATTCTTGGTCAGAAAAGTGGCAGATGCAGTTCAATGTAGATAAATGCAAGGTTCTGAAGCTTGGGAGTGCCCATAACCCTAGTACTTATAAGTTAAATGATGTAGAACTTAGCCATACAGATTGCAAAAAGGACTTGGGGGTTATGGTGAGCAGCAACCTTAAACCAAGACAGCAATGCCTAAGCGTACGTAATAAGGCAAATAGATTACTGGGATTTATATCAAGAAGTGTAAGCAACAGAAGTCCAGAGGTCATACTGCAGCTTTATACATCATTAGTAAGGCCTCACCTAGATTATGCAGCTCAGTTCTGGTCTCCATATTACAGAATGGACATAAATTCGTTAGAAAACATTCAGCGTAGGATGACTAAATTAATACATAGCATTAGAAATCTTCCTTATGAAGAAAGATTGAAGACTCTTAACCCTTTGACTGTTTCAGGCCCCTCTCTGAAACTGTCATTCTATGTCGCCAAATATTCAAAAAAAAAAAAATTATTTTTTCTTATGAAAATGTTAAGATTATTTTTCTGAGTGTTTTAGTCCCAAAAAAAAATTTTTGCCATCGGTACTTACCGAGATATAGAGCCGTGAAGTTTGCAGAAAATGAGCCGCGTATGGCAACAGTGGCGACTGCCGCTCACCCGGTAAACTTTAGTTTACTTGTAATTGAAGGTTTTTTGTTTTTTTCACTATTTTATTTTTTCACATAACTTATGTGGCCTATGAGACCAAAGTAAGGTGCAATGTATATATATACACTCGTTGTATACAACACAATAAGCACACAAACATAATTATCAATATATTGTTTACAAAACTTGTTTACAAAAACAAACAATCATCCTCCTCCTCCTTCTCCTCCTCCTCCTCCTCCTCCTCCTCCTCCTCCTCCTCCTTCTCCTTCTCCTCCTCCTCCTTCTCCTCCTCCTCCTTCTCCTCCTCCTCCTCCTTCTCCTTCTCCTCCTCCTTCTTCTCCTCCTCCTCCTTCTCCTTCTCCTCCTCCTTCTTCTCCTCCTCCTCCTCCTCCTTCTCCTCCTCCTCCTCCTCCTCCTCCTCCTCCTTCTCCTCCTTCTCCTTCTCCTTCTTCTCCTCCTCCTTCTCCTCCTCCTTGTCTTGTGTGCGAGTGTGTGGCTTATAATTGTTTTGAGTCAGAAGTCGGCAGCTGTCAAAGTGACATATTGTCTCATTAGTCACTCCCCCTACCGCCTGTCAAAACAATGGGGTCGGATGCTGCTTCCCCTCCTCCATTCTATCTAATTATCTTTCTCCCTCATTCTATATCTTTCAATCTGTCTCTCTATCTGTCTGCCTATCTCTGTCTCACAGGTACACATAAATACAAGTATACATAGTGTAAATTACCTAGGATAACCCAAGAAATCCAGACAAAGTGCTATACTCTGCTTGAAGATGTGAGTAAACGTGATGACACAGTCTTGTGGCTCTCTCTGAGACAGAGAGCTAGATGGACAGACAGGGAGCTTGACAGACAGACAAATAGACAGACAGAAATGTTTGTGTACCAGCAAAAACAAAGGGAGGGTGATGGTCATGTAATATTACCCTCCTTTATGCTCATCAAAGTCAGCTCTTATCAGATGTTATCTCCCCTTATCTTGTCACTGTCATGGGGTGGACTTTTTTTTTTCTTGCTTCAAGGGAACAATATTATTACATCTTCTTCTTCCTCCTCCTCCTCTTCTTCTCCTCCTCCTCCTCCTCCTCCTCCTCCTCTCCTCCTCCTCTTCCTTCCCTCCTCCTCCTCCTCCTCCATTGCTTTTGGTCTCAAACTCCTCCAAATCATGAAATTGATCTTCACTGACACTTCCATCTGTGTTAGAGCATCACTTGGGAAGAGAAGAGTCCCAGATTTGCTGGGGAATCACATATTTCTTATCACTAGACATGCTGAAAAAGGACAACTGAAATGGCATTCCCACAATGCACCACTGGCTCCCCGATTTTTTTTATATGGTGCACACTGACCATGGAGACCCATTCTCTCACATGTGGGCCTACCAGCTTTCTCCTGCTTGATTTGAAGCTGCTAGAATTTATGCGTATAAATACGTCAGAAACATTGGCTCGTAAGACGTATTTATACGTCGGAAACAGTCAAAGGGTTAAGTGACATTCACTTGTTAGACGAAGAATGAGGGGAGACCTGATCGAAGTGTATAAGTGGAAGATAGGTATTAATAAAGGGGATATTAATAAGGTCTTGAGGATGTCTCTCCAAGAGAGAACCCGCAGTAATGGATTTAAATTAGATAAGTTTAGATTTAGAAAGGACATAGGAAAGTATTGGTTTGGAAATAGGGTAGTAGATGAGTGGAACAGTCTACCTAGTTGGGTTATTGAGGCTGGGACTTTGGGTAGTTTCAAATTTAGGTTGGATAAGTACATGAGTGGGAGGGGTTGGATTTGAGTGGGACTTTCACATCAGAGCTTATTTCTTGGGTGGCATTGAAAATTGGGATGGGCAAATGTTTTGTTAGTGGGATGAATTGTAAAGGATCTGCCTAGTATGGGCCAACAGGCCTCCTGCAGTGTTCCTCCTTTCTTATGTGTCGAGGTTGGGAGACTACTCTCTCCCGTCTTCGCATTGGCCATACTCGTCTTACTCATGGATATCTCATGGAGAGGCGCCCTGCTCCTCTCTGTGAGAATTGCCAAGCTCCATTATCAGTCAGCCACATTCTGTTGGACTGCCCACTTTATCAACGAGCACGCAGAATTTACCTCCGTCGTCGTCTTCGGTCCGCTGCTCTCTCTTTACCTTCCCTTCTCGCTGATGGACCCACCTTTCATCCGGACTCTCTCATTGACTTTTTGACAACAACTGACTTCACAAATTCTGATACCTTCAGCCCTTTCTACTTCAATCTCTTGCTACCCTCTACCCCCGTACTATCCCCTGCCCCGCTGTTTTCTGTAACCTACTGATCATCCCTCCTCCCTTCTGCCATCCAATACCCTCACTTCCTTCCCTACCCTGCAGCGCTGTATAGCCCTTGTGGCTTAGCACTTCTTTTTGATTATAATAATAATAATGGAATGGATTAATTGTATTTACATTAATTCTTTTGGGAAATATTATTTCGGTTTTAGGCCGACCTTCTGGAATGGATTACGGCCAATAACCGAGGGTCCACTGTACCTTGAATTTTGTTCATTTTGTAGTTTTGTAGAAAAAAAAAATCCTAGATAACTTCATCCATTATGGGAGGTTTAATATGTGCTCGAACCAATCTGATTTTGAAACCAGACTGAGGTGAAAAATAGTGACTGGTGACCTACCGAGTAGACCAAGGGTGTGGGTGGAGCACAGAGTGTGCAGGGGACACCACACATACATCTACGACACTTGAGCTTCTCTGCCTCCTGTCCTTCCTCCACTCTCAATGCCAACAGTTGCTGAAAAATCCTCCGATGGTACTTTCTTTCCATCTTGATGTTCTGGAGCGAAAAAACTGAACCATCCGTCTGTGGGTATGACAACTTACAAGAATTAATCTGCATCCATACAAGTATTCAATATTATTATATGCTTTGTTTTACAGAAGTGTGCTACACTATTGAAACCATTACAACAGTGGTCATAAAAGAAAAAAGCACAATACCATGACAGGAGAACTAAACTCATGATGATTTGGTCCGATTTGGACCATTAACTAGCCACACGGAAATTCAATGGAAAGGGAGCCTGTTCCTTCGCACTTCTGTGTCACTAGTTAATGGTCAAATTGGATTGAGACATCATCATAAGTTTCCTTCTCCTATGTGTGGGTTATCTGTACAAATGATAGATTCCTCAACACTGAGTAATCTTGTGGTAGAGTTTCAGTTTCAGCTGGTTGATTATCATTAACCCCAATAATTTATTTTTATTTTTGCAGAAATTTGCAGTGACTTATAGCCTATGATTTGTGGCAACTTTATTTAATTTATATATATATTAAAGAAGAGAGAGAGAGAGAGAGGTTTTGGGAATTGTTGAGTGTGGGGAGTTTTGAACCAAGTGTGAGAGAACTTCTAGTTGGGGATCTCAATGCTAAAGTGGGTAAAAATGTTGTGGGGGGAGTAGTAGGTAAATCTGGGGTGCCAGGGGTAAATGATAATGGGGAGCCTTTAATTGAGCTATGTGCAGAAAGAGGTTTGGTAATAAGTAATACATATTTTATGTAAAAGAGGATAAATAAATATACAAGGTATGATATAGCACATAATGAAAGTAGTTTGTTAGATCATACATTGGTGGATAAAAGCTTGATGGGTAGGCTTCAGGATGTACATATTTAGAGAGGGGCAACTGATATATCCGATCATTACTTAGCTGTTGCTACAGTTAGAGTAAGAGGTAGATGGGACAAAAGGAAAAAGGCAACAACAAGTAAGAGAGAGGTGAAAGTGTATAAACTAGGGGAGGAAGAAGTTCGGGTGAGATATAAGCAACTATTGGCAGAAAGGTGGGCTAGTGCAAGTATGAGTAGTGTGTGGGGGGGGGGTTGAAGATTTTTTAAATATTTAATTGCCGGGTTTTTTTTTTTTTGTTTAATAAAAACCAAAATTTTAAAAAGGTAATTTTATTTACTTAATTAAAATTACCTAAATTTTAAAATTTGTAAAAATATATTAAAAATGGACGATCCCCTTGAATTTAAAAATTATTAAATTATTTTTTAAAAAGGGGTTTTAATTATTTTTAAAAAAAAAATTTTAATTAAATTTTAAAATTTAAATTTTTTTCCTTTTTGGAAAAATTTTTAAGTTTATTTGATAATTAAAATTTTAATAAAAAAATATGTTTAAAAACCGGGGGTTTGGGTAATAAAAACCCCCCCGGGGTTTTTCTTCCCCTTAAATGTTTTTCAGTTGGTGGTTTCTTGTTTTTTTCTTTCCCCAATAAAAGGGAAAGGGTTTTCCCCCGGTAACCCATGCTTTTTTAAATTAGGGAACCTAAATTTTTAAAAGGGGGAAAATTAAACCCCTTTCTGTGTTTTTTTTTTTTTTTTTTTAAAGCTTTTCGTTTTTTCCTTTTTTGGGGGCCACCCCCTAAGTGGGTTAGGGGGGTGTTTTGGAAAAGGGATATAATTTTTATATATTATAAATTTAAAAAAATTTTTTTTTTTAATATTTTATTTTTATAAAAAATATAAAATTTTTATTTTATATACATTGGACCCCCGGTTAACAAATTTTTTTTTTCTTTCCCAAAAGTAGTTTGTTCGGGTTCCCGGGTCTGCCCAAATTTTTTTCCCCATAAGGAATTTTTGTAAATTTTAATTGTCCATTTCAACCCCCAAAAAAATACACGTACAAAACAAATTTTAACATAAATAACTTACAAAAATTTTGGTTTCGCTTTTGGAGGTAAATCTTTTAAGCGGGGGCCCACTGAAATAAAATATATTATTTTTAATTTATTATTATAATATATATATAATATTTTTAAAAATAAAATTAAAAAATTTTAAAAATATATTTTATATATTAAAAAAAAAAAAAAAAGGGGGGCCCCCCACTTTACGGCGTTTCCATTTTTACGGCTTTTCCCAAATAATACGGTCTTTTTAAAATTATGACCAAAATTTGCTATACGGCCCCCCCCAATGACTTTTTTAATTTAGGCCCACCGCGCCCCACCCTGTTTGTTTTAAATTCTTTGTGAGCTCAGAAAGCACTAATTCTCCCCATTTTGTCTGGAAAAACCCCCAAAATTTTCCCAAAGGGTTTTTAAAAGTTATTTCATATTTTTATATACTTGATAATTATACTTATGTATACTTGTATTTTAATTAAACTTACATACGGGCTGGCATGCAGGTACACTTTTAAAAATTCCGTAAAGTGTCTTATGTCCCCCAGACTTTATATTAGTAATGATAAAATAAAAAATTTCAAGTCTCATTTAAAGGGTCGTATATTAGTTAAATACAATTTTCTTTTAATCCTCAATAAATTAAATTTTTTCAAAATTATATAATAAACACGTTTTCAAAAACATAAAAGATTAAATACCCCCCACAATAGAAAAAAATTAAACATAAATACGAGTTTGGGGTAGCAGACCTTGCACAAGTAAAGGGCCATTTTAGAAAATTTGCTTAAAAAAAATAATAAACCGAGTCTCTTTAAAAATTTTGTATATTAGTTAAAAAAACACTTTTTTCATTAACCCTTTCCCATGATTTTTTTTTTTCAAAATTAATAATAAAAAAAAGTTTACTTTAAAAAAAAAGGTTTAAAATCCACCCTACAACAAAAATAAAAAAACAAAATATAGATGGGTACCCAAAATAACTTGTAAAAGTGTTTCCCCAAGGGAAAAAAAACTTTTTCCCTCTAATCAAACAAAGAAAAAAAAGGTTTTTACGGGGGGGAAAACTGTAGAAAATTTTTCCCTTTCGATGTATTGAAATTTTTTCGGGGTAAACAAAAAAATTAAAATTTAAACATGGGATTTTTATACTAACAACATATGTGTAGGGGAAACCGGGGTTTCCCCCAAAAAAAAGTCAGAGTGACTTATTTTCCATTGCCCACCCCCCCCCCCAAAAACCCCCCCCCCCCCATCAGAAGAAAAATAAAAATTTTTTTTAAAAAAAATTGATTTTTTTACATAAAATGGGGGTTTTGTTTTTTTCTTTTTTTATTTACCTTTTTATAAAGGTTTTAAGACCCCCCTTGTACAAAAATTTAAATTTTAAAACAGAGTGAATTGGTTTAAAACTTTTTCCCTGGTTTTTAAAAAAATAGAATTTTTATTTAGGGGGTTTTATTCCCATTTATTTACCTCCTCCAATTTTTTTCAAAAAAAACTCCCAAAATATTTTAAGGTAAGAATGAGGGGAATTTTAAAAATTTTATCCTCGGGGTTTCAAAAATTTAATAGAATAATGTTGTGGGTGGGGGGGCCCGGGTTTTATGGTGCCGGTACACCATACATACCCCCCTTGGGATTTTCTTACAAAAAAATCTATTTGTTCCCCCTAGTTTAAAGGGGATTTATAAAAATATTTTAAGGAAAAAGTAAAGATTTCAAAGGGTGTGTTTTTGTTTTTTTTTATTTTTTTTTTGTTTGCCTGGCTCTATTGTTTAATTTAAATATTTTGTGGGTGAAAAATTTTGTTTCTATTTTTTTTATGCATTTGTAAGGGGGAAAAAAAAAGGGTTTTCCACTTGATGGTGGTTTTCCCCCTTTAGGCAGAGCCTGGAAACCCAAAACCAGCCTTAAAAAGGGGGGCCTTCCTTTTATATTTTTTTATTTTTTTATTTATTTATTTAAAAATTTGAGCACACTTAAAAGGGGGTACAAAAAATAAGTTTAAGGGGCAGCATCCCAAAAGCCACTTATACAATGCATAGCCTTTTACGGGCTGGCAAAAAAATTAACTTAAGATAAAACAAAAGAAATGAGTAACAGTGAAAAAATTTTAAATTTTATACGGGAACATAAAGCACAAGTGGAAATTAAAAAGGGCCCGGGGTCATATGGTTGTTTTGCATTGTTGTACATTCAGTAGAAATGGAAAGTATTCTTTTGGGAAAGGGGAAATTTAAAAAATTTTTTTAAAAGTTAGTTTGGGGTTTTTTGGGTTTTAACTTTTAAAGTGTTTTAAAAATTGGGTGAGAAAATTTAATTAAACAATTTATAAGGTTCATTATTAAAGTATTTATTTTTTTTTTGGGGTGTAAGTGATTTTTGAGAGGGGACTTGAATTTATAAACGGTGGGTTTTTTCTTTTATTTTTACAGGAAATTTGATTTTCCAAATATTTGGGGGCCCTTTTTTGTTTGATTTTTTTCCCTTTGTGGAGTGGACACGAGGAACATAAAAGGGATTGATTGTGCCTTGTTTTATGGCCCTTTTTTTTTCTGTTGGGTTGGAAAAGGGGGTTGTTTGGGGGGAAAGGGTTAAAAACAGAGTTACGTGTTCTTTTAAATGTAATGGGTGCAGAAAATAAGTATAATGTTTTTTTATGGTGAATAGGTTTAGTGTTTTGAATATTGGGGGAGTTTTTTGCTCCCTTATATATATTTATATATATATATATATATATATATATTAAAATTTTTATTTTATATATTTTTTATAAAAATATATATATATTATTTAAATATTTTTTAATAAATACGGGTCCCCCCCTTTAAACGAATTTTTTCCATAAAAAATTTTTGTTTAATAGTATTGCCCAAAAATTTGTTCCCATTAAAAATTTCCTTTAATAATTTTTTCCATTTGGGGGAAAACCCAAAGGGGGGGGTTCCCACTTAATAAATAATTAATAATTTAATTTAAAAATTTATTATTGTATATATATATAAATATATATATATATAAAATTATATTTTTTATATACCCCACCTCGGTGGGAAACGGCGGGTACGTTAAAAAGAAGAAGAAAAAAATATATATAATATATATTTTTTATATATATTTTATATATATATTTTTTTTATATATTTATAAAATTATATATATT